TTTCTTGGGACAAGAGAATTCATCTCCCTCTGTTTGGGGCTCCCCACTCTGTATTATATTGAATTCTAAGTTGACTATCTCGGGGAGCTTCTGTAGCCAGTTGTTATCTATCTGCCATCTTTGCTTCTCCCCCCTCATAGTAACTACTGAGTGAAAGAAAATATAAAATGCAAAAAAAAAAAAAAAAGAAAATATAAAATGCACATTGTCTACTTATGCATAACTCTAGAAGAAAAAAATGTATTTGTATTACATGATTCAATTTTTATAAATTTCTACAAAATGCTAAGTAACTTAAGTAGCAGGAACCAAATCGATGGTTGTCAGGAAAGCCTGAGAGAATAAAGCAAAAGAACCAGGGATTATGAAGGGACACTAGAAGATTTTTTTTAAGGGGAGGCAAATATTTTTATTTTCTTGATCATGGTGATGATTTCACATGTGTAAGTGTATGGTAAAACCCATCACACTGTACACTTCAGTGTGTGTAGCTCATCATATGTCAGTGCCACTTTAATAAAGCTGCTTTACAAAAATACAAGAAACAAATTTAAAATTCTTGGCTTTTTTAGGTAAGTCCATTTGTGAACTTCATTATTTAGATGGTATGACACAGTAATTTCTTGTGGTAGGATTCATGGATGATGGTGGCGCACCACTACCTCAGAATGCCATGCTGACAATGATGCGTCTTACTTGTTTATTGAGGTGTCATAACCACAAGTTGAAAAGCAACCATTGGCTACCCAGAAGATTGGCAGGGAATGGGATCTGGGTGCTCTGGCTTCAGACTCAGAACGTTTCAGCAGGACCAGAATGTCAAGGAAAACCACACTCTCAGGTAGGAGGAAACAGAAGTAGTTCCGGGCATTGATCATAAGGGTTCACAGAATGATGTGCCACTGTGGCAATGCTTGCTGTCCCAGCATTAAGATGTGAACTGTGATCCAGTTATCTCTGGTAACCAGTGTTTCTGAGATGGAAATGTGTACCTGGCCTCATGGAGAGAGGACATCATAGCACTAGATGGCTTTGTCCTTCTGTAATCACAAGGAATCCGCTCACTATATGAGCTCCTTTCATTTATCCACTCCAGTGTTGAACAAGAATTTTTGCCTATCTAGTTTGAGTCAGTTCCCCTGGCAGCTGACACCAAGCTACCCCTTGAAGCTGGCCCTAAACACAACAAATCAGAGGAGGTTTTGACTATGGTTTAGTATCAGTCATTGATTCTTGGCCAGGACCAGGATGAGATTTGTTTTCATGAGAGCACTAAGGACATGGCAGGACACAGAGAATGATGATAAAATATGGATAATTACAAAAGTTGTAGAATGGAAATTTGGCTCTGGATATAAAAATCACATTTTTTTTTGTAAGCAGCACTGGGGATTGAAGGTAAGGCCTTTCCACTTTGCCCAGTCCTTTCTTTTATTCTTTTTTTAAATTTTTATTTTGCAACACTATCTCACATAATTGCCAAGTTGTCCAGTCTGCTCTCAATCTTGTAGTCTCCTGCCTTAGCCTCCCCAGTTACTGAGATCAGAGTTGTGTGGCACAAACATCAAAAATTCCATTTTTAAAGTACTTTTTGTTTTGTCTATCATATGCATTATTTCTTGCTATTGCTATTTCTACTGTCTTATACAACTGGTCTGATATCACACATTTTCTGTAAACATACCAGCTGATACACAGATCATCACTCGTTACTTGGTGGAGTCTGCCGGGACAGCACCCCCACATTGACATTCATCAAGCTTCAGTCTGTTATAAAAAGTAGCACACTATTTGCATATAACCTACACACATCCTTCCAACTATTTCAAATCATGTCTAGAGTATTTATAATACCTAATATAATGTAAATAATATGTAAATAGCTGCCATATGGTATTATCCACAGAATAATAATAAGAAAAATTCTGTACATGTTAAGTATCAAAGAAACTGTTTTAAACTATTTTTGATCTGTGATTTATTGAACAGATAGATTTGGGACCCACTGCTATACAGTGTGGACTGCATATATTTTCTGTATTTGTGACAGATTTATAAGCACTCAACTCATCCTGTCTCTGGATAACTTTTGTTAAGTACCAAATCCCACTTTAAGGGGGAAAAAAGAAATAAGGTTAACATGTTTAAATCCTCATCCCTTAATTTTAGTTGTTTTCATAAATAAAAGTCCACAAAAGCTTGGCAGTTTATTTTGTAACATAACAAATCATAGATTGTATGTAGATTCTCATGATTATATTCCTGGCTCTACAGAATTTCATAGATATTAAAAGCAAAGACTTTCTTATTAAAAAGACAAAACCTTTCTTTAGAATATTTAGCAAATTTTGAGCTGCTTGATGAGTTTTTGATGTTCCTTAGTACACTTAAAAACTTCTCATCCTAAATAGTATCAGTAAGAGCCTAGCACACTTACATTTCCCATCCAAATATCAATGAAACTGTTCCTCACTGTGTGCTCAGTATTACTAAGCAGTCTTAATTATTTTCTTAGCAACTCTATGAGAAGACTGTTATTTCCATTTTTACAAAAGAAGGAACAAAAGATAGAGAAATTGTCTAATTTTATACAATAAGTAAGGGCAGCCCTGACCTTGAATCAAAGCCTATCAGATTCCAGGGCAGCAGTTTGACTCTGAATAATAATGTGTAAGTTCCTCCCACACATATCTATCTTGCATATAAGTCAGGTTTTTTCCTTTTTTTTTTTTTTTCTTTCGTTATTTATTTATTGCCCTCATTTTCTAACTTCTACTACCTTTTTTCTTTGTTTTTTTTTGTTTGGGGGTTTTTGTTTTTGGTATGGTGTTTGTTTGTTTTTTGAGATACGGTCTCTATGTAGTTTAGGCTGTCTTTGAATTCACTATGCAACCCAAATTGGCATGGAACTCACAGTTCCTCCTCTGCCTCCTGCCTCGACCTCCTGAATGCTGGAATTACAGGCATGAACCACCACACCTGACACTTTTACTATCTGGAGGAGTTTTAAAAGAAGTAGTCTTGAATAATTACAATGATCATCTTTTTAGAAATTGAATGAATTTCTTAAATGTCATTGATATTAATAATAATAATAAAATATCATTAAACCTCACATCGGATGGTATCATATGTCTTACAAATTCACTGATACACAGTGCAAACAATGAAATATGGCATACAATAAAATTTAAGACAGATGTTTTCCTACTAATTCCAAGGACATTTTATGCAATCACTGCTAGAACACCTAAGTCCTTTGCAAATCAGCTTTTATCACCTCTCGAGTACCTTTAGCTTTTGTTAACAAAATTATGTAATAATAAAACATATTAAAATTAAAACTATTAGATTTATCATCAATGGACTATGCAGTGATTGAAAAATATACTCTTTTATACAGCAAGCTTACATTCCTCAACCTTTATGTATATACATCAGTTTGTTTCTGTTTCATGTCAAAAATATCATCAGATGAATCTGGGAGGTAAAAAGTGGTGACATATTCAAATTAGGAGCCTGATAAAGGGTCAAACAGACCAACACAAGATATAATTAAGTCAGAATATTTGTTCCTCATGTGTTCTATGTTTTAGCCCCAGTAATACTAAACACTAGTGCTGCATTTTCTTTCTCAAGCAGAGAACTGTGATATAGTTGGCACAACAACCCACTCTGGATATTCTAAATTCCAATTGAGCCATGCTCTCTATGCTGGGCTTTGGAAATGTGAATTGTGATCAAAGAGGAAGTAAGATAAAACATTAGGCTGAGTTCATTTTAGGCCACTGACTTATCTGAATCTCTATTCCAAGAAAAGACAAAACAAAGCAACCCTAGTCTCCTTTCTTCCTCAGGAGTCATACTGAATTTGTCATCTCATCCCTTCTTAGCTACAAAGCAAAATTCCCTGCAGTGTCTTCTACAGCATACTTGTACATCTTCAGTGTCTGTGTCTTTGCTTTATTAAAACAATATGAGAAAGTAGAAAAAATGAAATGATAAATATAAAAAAATGATTAACAGAAACTTAATTTCACAAAGCCCTAATGTAGCTTTCAAATTTCAGAAGTGGACTGCCTTGAGAAGCCACTGAGCCTGCAGACTAAAGTTATTTTTTAAATTAAACTGTCATTATACCATGACCATCCTGAGTTACTGTTCTCTGTGAATCAAATCTTTCCACATTGCAATGAAGTATGCAAACACCTTTAATAAAGGAGAATTTAGTGAAAGTCAGAATGTTGAATCCAGAGTCCAACTTTGAGATTGATACCTGGCTCTACTAATCTTGGACAAATCTATCAACCATCTGCTCTACCTTTGTTCATCTATGAGACAGGATCACCCCTACTCATGCACCTACCTTTCATGTTCACTTGATGATTTAGAAAGTTTAAATTGCACATGAGAATGCATTAATAGGTGTAAATAACAATGCAAATCTCAATGACTATGATAGGGAGACAGGGGCTTAGGATACAGATAAACAGCATAGCACCTGCCTGGCAAGCATGAAAAAGGTAGACGATAAGAAGGATTTAACCTTGGCTAACAAGAAGCTTGTGGCATGGAGATAGATGGAAGTTATCTTCCACTGAAAACCCTCTATGCACTAAGCATTATGCAAATGTTTCACATACATGGTTCTATTTACTCAAAATGGAGCTAATTGTAAAGGGTCACTGTGGAGCTGGTGGCATCTCATCTTGATTTCAAAATCTATGATCTTTTTACCAACCCTCTGCTACCTTCACAAGGTATCAGCTGTCAAAGTACAAAATTACCTGGGAGTTTGAACCAATGATTAAATTTGGGACTCTCAAGATTCAGAAAAACTTCAAATATGTTTTATATTTAAATCTTAGCATCTTTCACATGAGAGTTTATGACACTAAGTCAGTCTTTAATTTGGTGTTTGTCTTGATTACTTTTCTCTTATTGCTGAGACAAAATACCTGATGCCCAAAATGAAGGAAGGAAAGATTTATTTAGCTTACAGTTTGTGGAAGTTTCAGCTCATTCTCAGCTGGCTCCAAGGCAGGGAAGCATGGCCAGAGGAAACTGTTCAAGGTGGCTACAGCAGATTCCAAAGGTGACAGGAGCAAAAGGATGAAAAAAGAAGGAGAATTAGAGGGAGAATAAGCCCCTTTCCTCTCTTATATTGCAACCAGGCTATGACCCTCAACTGGGTGCAGTGCTCACATCATCTCTGAGCCCCACTCTTGCATAGGCTGGGAATGTTTACAAAGTAAGGACCCTGGTCCCCTGCTGAATCACTTAGTTAAACTTCTGACCTTCTCAAATTGATACAATCAACAATATCTTAGAGAGATAGGAGCAAGTCCTTTACACTCCAGAATGGAGAGCTGCTGAGTTTCTGAGTTAAGCTTCAAGACTTCTCAAACTGACACAATGTATCAATGATAACTCTTTAAGGAAGGGTCATAAATAACAGCATTCTGCACTGCCCAGGCTCAGAACCAACAATGAGACTAGCATTGATGGGGGCCTGATGGAGACCGGGACACATTCATTACAGATAGAAGTGAGGCTGCAGGGTACATACAGCTCCTACAGCCTCAGGGAACTTCCTCATGTCCACCCTGGCTGCAGACTTGTCCCTCCTGTTGCTGGCATTGTTCAGTATCCACAGGCATTGCCTAAGGCAGGCAGCTTACTTTAAATCAGGCAGCTGATGAGAATGCATCCTTTTAGCAGGCAGAGTAAGAAAGACATGCAGAAGCTTAGCTTGGCATATTCATTAATAAAATTCTTTAATCAATGGAGTCCTGCTCCGACTAGCCTGAAGGAGGGGACAAGGAGGACCTGGGAGTGTTTCTTCCCAATCTACCTTCCCTTAGTAGAATGAGTAGTGGGTTCCTCTGTAGAAATACGATGAGTGGGGAGTATAACCACTTTTGCTTTTTCTTGATTTTCTAGTTTTTTTTTTTCCTAGTTTTAAAGTGGAGAAAAGAAAGGTCAGTTCTAGAAATCCAGATCCAGGATTGACTTGCTTTTCTATTTACATTAATGGGATATAAGTAGAAGAGAAACCTCAGCTCATAATACAAATAACTATTCAGTGTGTCAAAACCATTTTGAAGATGGTTCCTTCCCTCAAAGAGTTCCTTAAAGGTCATCGAAAAGTTCAGATCAATAGTTTCCCTGTCCATTCACACAAGATACGTGAATGAACTTTTTCTGAATCAGTCAACTTCCCTTTAGATACTTCCCTTTAGCCAGTCAAGCCTGAGATCAGAATGTGGCTGTTTCACTGTGTTGTAGAAATGTCACCAGGACCATGCATGTGTGTTTATTAAACACCTGTGTTTGCTAGGCACTGAGTAAACAGAGCTTCTCCAGGAGCCTCCCTTCTTTTGATGAAGAGATGACATAAAGAAAGTAAGCAAACAAGATATATTATGCTACTGATAGCAATATGAGGAAGAGAAACAGGATAGTATGATAGGAAGGGACCTTAATTGGATATGAATGATGAAAGGGAGCAGCGGCAGGAGGATCTGGGAAGAAGGAAATTACTACAGTCCCTGACAGGGGCAGGAGCCTGATATCTACTCAAGTGGCAGAGAGAAGACCAGAGCTGAGGGGAGATGGAAGGCAAGGGAGGGAATTTTCAGGGAAATAGGTCTAACAGGGAGCCAGCAACTGGACACTGTGAGTCTGTGGGGGCATTTGAAGGAATTTAGGATTACACTCTTGGTCTAATGGGAGCCCACAAGAGAGCTGGACCAGGAAATAACTTGGTATGTTCTTGATAGGCTCACTCTTATCTCTGGGAAAAGCACCAACTACAGGTGGACAGAGGTAGGGCCAGTGCAGGGAGACTTGAGAAGCATGGCAGAGCGGCAAAATTACCCCACTTTGGGACATATTAAATTTGAGGTGCTTGTTAGGCATCCGAAAGGCAATGCTGATAAGATGATCGAACATATGAATCTGACTTCGGGATAAGTTCTGAGGTGGAAGTATGCTTTTGGGGGTCATCAGGTCCTGTGAAACAAGTTAAGGAAAAAAAAGGAAAAACTCAGCTATTTACATCTTATAGAGAGGGATGTGCAAAGGAGATAGCTGGAAAGTTCATTGTGGTAGAGTATGACAACAGGGAAGCCTAGACAAGACTGCTACAGGCAAGACACAAGCATCATCTGCTTTATCAGGATGCAGTCACTGTAGCCTGACATGATCTGTTGTAGTACAGTGTGGGGACACAGATGACTGGACTTCTCAAATCTTCCCCTATCCTATGGTTCTATGATTTTATGACCTTCTTCCAGCTGTAGATACCTCCTCCTCTGCTGTCCCTTAAACATCCCTTAGGAGCTCTTTTTGTTGTCCTTAAAATTAATGCATGAATCCACTCAGTGTATTCCTAGGTCTTCTAAAGACTCAGCCACAATTCTTCTTATTAGTTCAGCCTTATTCAACTATAGGGTTGCCTTGGTAGAAGCAACTGTTTACAGTGATTTTTCAGATTTTGCTCATTGAATTAGCTCACTCAACAGAAGGTCTTGCAGGCCTGGTGTAACCTCTCTTCAGCTCCAGTTAAAATTTGCTAGTGTCACTTCATTCTTTGAGATGAATCAGCCTTACAAGTGGGATAGAAAGCATAATTTTATTAAGAATTAGCTGAGTTACCATTTTATTTATTACAAGCCCAATATGTATTAAGAGATACCAGTTCATGTCTAATAAAAAGGATATCTGTCTTAGTTCCTCATAGCTCCTATAATAAAATCTATAAACCAGGTAGCTTATCGTTAACAGAAATTTATTCCTCACCAATCTGAAAGTCTAAGATCAAGGTTCCAGCAGATTCAGGTTCCATTGAGGGACCATTTCCTGGTTCATAGATGAGGAACCATTTCCTGACTGTGTAGACTTACAGTATCAGAAGCAGAAATCTTCAAAGGCCTCTTCTCGGATCAGAGTAGAAAAATCCACAATGGTCATCTGCATGTTGGGAATCCAGAGGATCCAGTAGTTATTCAGCACAAAAAGATGGAAACCACAGAAAAAAAAGGTACAGCACTTGTCCAAGGCCAAAGACCTAGAAGCTCACTACAGAGTCACTGATGTGAGTCTTCAATGGAAGGCTGAAGTAAGTGGATATCAGTATCTGAAGGCAATGATAAGGACTGGAGCACTTCCAAAATAGAAATATTTCCTTCTTCTTTCCCTTTTTATTCCATCCAGGACACAAGCCTTTTCACTGGTGCCATTCACTTCCAAGGGAGGTCTTCTTCCTTCAAGTTGCTGATCTACACGGCAATCATCATAAATACACCCAGAACTGTGCTTCAATAATCTGCTTGGCGTGTTTTTAATCCCTTCAAGTTGACATCTCATGATTAGCAGTCACAACATGAATTTAAGGGAACACACACATCAAGACCACAGCAGTACATGTATACACCTGCATGGATGTGTGTATAAACACACACAAACTCACTTTTCAATCAGTGTGTGACTATGTGACTCACACTGGCTCAATATGAATCTGATACAGTTGCTTTTGATCAGAGAGTAGGGCAGTTTGGCTTCCCGGGAGACATTTGGTATAATCTGATCATCATAATGGGGACTACAACCAGAATCTATAAAATTCACATGGCAGCTTCCCCACTACTAAGATTTCCCCAACTCAAAATGCCAAGAGTGTTGAGGCACAGAAACCCTGCTGTCAAGATGGAAGATGGTGAGCATGAACATAACCTGAGTAGTGCACTGCCAACAGAGGTGGCACAACAGCTCCACTCACAGTCACCTCTGCAATGCCATCGATCAACCCTGTAATCAAAGCAGCCCAGAGAGCTGTGGGCGGAAGACACTAGCTCTGATGTACTTCACCTGCTTACCTGGAGGCCTGAGAAAATCATTATCTAATTTTAAATGTAACCTGATACATATCACACTAGTTTAGCTTCACTCAAAATTCGCTAAATGTAGGTCTCAATCTCACTAATGGACTCAGTTTTCTCTTTTCTAAATCAAATGGTTTTTTTTCATATCCCCTGCTTGGCCAGCCTAGGGTTGCAAGCAGCCTTGCAGGTTTATGGGATACTGACCACAGCACTAAAGACCTTGCTACTAATTAAACTGCATCATTCGTCCATGCTGGCCCCTAAGGAATCATCTATCCTTCCCATGCCGAGCATGGGAGGGCCCAACCTCACACAGCCAACAAGTGATCAAAGTAAAATTATCAACAAATACACAAAGAAGCTGGCAACATCATATGGGAACCATAATACCCTCTTCTTTCCTGCACCCAACAATGGCAGCATTTGAAAATACCCTCAAGCTTTCTTGTATTTAAGCTTCTTGAGACTCAAATCCTAGTTGAAAATTGAGCTGACAGTAAAGACCCTATTTGCAAACCCCAAGGTCAACCAGATATCTAGTCTTTTTTGCACAGTGTGATCACATTTTTTTTTAAATCCTGTGCTTGGCAGGGAGAGATTTAATTAATATTTGTATTATATTCTTAAACTAAACCCGAGTCTAGAGAAAAAAATATAACTCAGTGTCTACAGCAACACCCTGAAGAGCTGCTGGGTGGAGAAGGTTACCACAATCAGAAGAATGGCTTGGGTTTCAATTTAATTCTTATTTGCTCAAATGCCAAAGTAATTTTTCCATGAGGAGAATGAGGTCATTCTTCACAGAAAGGGATCACTGTCTCAAAATTCATATGACCAGGAAACACAAGACCAATATAATGAAAGGTTTCAGAAATGTGAACTAAATAAAGTGGACTTAAAATGACAAATCTATACATGTGGTTTAAGCCCCAGAGATATATTAACAGCATATCATAAATCCTTCACATTTTTTTAACATAAAAGGGCATTCTCCCATACGCAGCCTACCCTGTATCCAAGTGACCCTACCATTGCACAACAAAGGGACTTTTCCAAACAATCCCATGGGAACCCCAGCAGGCTGGTTCCCAGGGCTTCCTTGCTGTATTGGGAGAGGCAAGTCTCTGGTTGGAAGGATGAGACCCTCCTAAAATGAGTTAGGGCAGCACCCAAACTTCTACAAATATAGAAA